GCCGGATCTTCGTATGGTACTCCATTTCTTACAGCGCAGCGTGCCAACAACAAGGTGATGATCGGTTGCCATAGAAAATGTATCATTATTTAAAAAGGTGGACCTGTTCAGAATGAATGCTTTCTATAATTCAATCTGGATTTTCACATCCGCTCTCTCTATAATTCAAGTTCACTGGCCTTATCACAGGAAACGGTCAAACAACAAAAACGAGTGATCACATGACTCGATGAACAATGCAATGTATGCTCCTAAACTGCGACGGTGGCCGTTTTAGCCTATCATTAATATTGAAGCCGTCATTTTAAAGTATTTAGAGAAACGGAAATATGAAGGGCAAGAGCTCCTTGTGTCTTAAAGCCAAGCATCACTGCGAGATAGATGTGTGATCCGTATGTGCTGGAAATTACCATAGGGGCCGGTTGCATGAATAGGAAGCCTCAAGTTTGTATTCTCAGCTTTCATGATTTTTTCTATAAGGAATCAGTTACTGAATCAGCAGATAATATTTGACGTAAGTAGATCTGCTCTCACCTCATTTTGTTATGCTGTATGCTGGCTCCGTGGTACACGTCTGTTGTTTTTCGACTCCGTCATGAATAGCTCATCGGCTGATCTAAACGGCTAGTACTCAGTTATTTCGTCTAACGGGCTAAGCCTCCGCTCTTATTCATTATATCTCCAGCACGTAAGAAAATAGAATCATTCTTTGCGTGGTCCTGAATTCGACCATCATTCGAGATCCTTTGCTAAAACAAAGAAAGGACAGTGACACATTAATAATACGACTGCTCCAAGCACTGGGGCTGCTGCGGGGTTCAAAACCGAGAAAAAGTTCCCTTTCGAGCCATTTCCGGCTGAGAAGTGGATAGCAAATCAGTGACTTGCAAACGGCAGGAACAACATGATATACCGGTGTCATGCCAGAATGAGCGAGGCGTAGAGCTGCGCAGTGTGATGTGATCGTCTTGAGGGCTGCAGTTCGCATTGACCCACCTAATCGCTAACTATTAAATGCAATAATCAGCAGAAGTTATAATCGCGTTAATGTTCCTAGTTATCATACAACTGATTTCGTATTGCACAACAACAACGACTTGATCGAAACAAGGTACAGAAGAGCTATTTCTTTC